CTCGCCATCGGTCGGCGATTCCTTTGTGCGGTTGCTACCAATTTCATAAGCATAGACTCACCCAAGCTCAAAGTATTGCTTGGAATTGTTGTCTTCAGATACGCAATCCTTGACATTTTGTGACTCAGTGAGAAGTCTCAATATTTTCGGTGAGACCACGCGCAAGGACTTTTCAACTGTTCAACATAAACTTCGCAAACAACCTTGCTTGCGGTGTTGGTACACGGTTGGCCCACGGCACACCTTTGGTATGCTAGGTGATTTCAGGCTTTGCAGCAATCAGCGTGGCTCGGCATTGGTGACCGGCACTTGTTCGCTCGGGATAGAAAGGTTCCACGGGGCTGAGCACTCACCAAGGTTGGGGACATTGCATGGGTACGCAGAATGATATTTGAACATTGCTAGGTGGAAGCGCAAGGGTAGTATGGAGTTGTATCGCAATGTTCCTTCCACGTTCATTCTGTATGTTCCCTCCTTCCAAAGCCTTCACACCATTTCTGTCCATTTCTGGTATTTTTGTGTTGTGTGGTGACAAAAGCGCAACGTGTTGTTGCAAGTTCTTCGTTTTCACGCCAGATTGGGAACGATGACCGTACCGTCGAAGCGGGCCTCGACTCGTACTTTGAGAATATTCCAGCGTCAATGTTCACGGCATTCCGACACCTGGCGAAGACGTCGAACATTTTGAGTTGTTTTTTTCTATGCTTGGAATGGTTTTGTATTCTCGATTGATTTCGATTGGTCTGATACAATGGTTCTGTTAATGTGTATTGATGTTTTTTGGGGGGTTGATGATAAGAATTTAAAGGTTGATGGGTCATGGTTGAACGCTCTGATTCTGATGGGTCATGGTTGAACGCTCTGATTCTGATTGCAAACAAACATGGTCATTTGGCTCCTTTATTCATTGCAAAAATACTCAAATACATTTTTTGGGATGCATCACATGGCTCAGTCAAGGATGCTTCACAGGAGAATGCATCAATGAGGACGGGAGACCAATCACTCATATGTTAGCGAGAAGGTTTGGACTTCCGTTCATTCTGGGATATGTGGCAAGCTATATGTTGGTGGCCATGGGGATCTTCAATGTGATTCTTGCAGTTCCCCGTCTGCAGTGAGACGACATGACAGCACTGCAGAATTCTTCAAGCCGCCACAGAAGAAAAGGATCCAATTTGGATATAGAAGCTTTGCATTGTTATTTGTTAATGTTGTGCTTATGTATTTGCCTTCGTGCAGGGTTGCCATGCCATACTGCAGACAGTACAGTCTTGGCAGCTTCATACTTCGAAGATTGATTCCAACAGTGGTACAGTACGTCAGAATTTTGCTTACTGTAGTTCAGTTGTCGTGCTTCTCTGGGTAAGTCACGCGCTGTTAGAAACCAGTATGTTGGAGCAAAGAAACCACATTAGAATCATTAGATTAGATTAGAGTATTCTGCAACTGTATCATCTATGTGTTCTTTTATGTGCCACACTAATTTTAAGTTGTTGCATTTGTTAGATATTGAGCTTGAAACAGGCCTGTTTGGTGGTGAGGATGTGCATGCTACCAAATCTAGCTATTTCACCGCCAACGTCAGCCCTCGCTGATGTTTAGTATACAAGTTTACAGAATAAAAGTGCGAATCTGACAATGAGACAACCACATTCATATATATATATATATCAGCGCTTCATAAAGCAGCGGCCATGCGAGATTTTGTGAGTTTCTGTGGGATTCAACGACAGGGCATTGCATTCTCCCCCAGGAAAGAGGGAATAGTTTTGTGGATGACCGTAGAGTAGAGTGACCCCTTGAACGTCTCGAGGAACCGTCGTTCAATTCTTCGAAGGATCGTTCAATCGTTGAGGTTTATGTTGACATCACCATGAGAGCAGCCAAAGAAAACGAAGCGACCACTGCAGAGCAGTACTCCAGAGAGTCCGTCCGCATCGCCCGGACCACCCGGGAGCTATTGAAGTTTTTTGCCAATGCCTACAACCAGTGTCTCGCCGGAAGCCAATGCACATCAGACTGGGAAGTAGCTCCAGATTCATAGATTCATAGCTGACATGCAAGTGTTCATGCCGGATGGCAGGATCATTGTGCTCAAACGACAAGCATGGCCTATCTGTAGTTTGTTTTTCTCTTGCTGCAACTGCACCAATTAATCAAGTCCATTAGCGAACCTAGACATTGGTAAGTTTCCCTAAAAATCTAGGAACCAAATCATCAGTAAGGGCGGCGGGGGAAGCTTCCTTGAAGAAGTGTGAGCTATCCTGCTTCCATACTAGTAGCTACTTAAGCTACTAGCGTATACCTCTCCCTTCCAGCTACCGACTCCCTAGCTAACCTCTACTAGCGGCCTACCCCAAAAAAAAAGACGAGATGAGTAATATTTCTAGTCCGAATCGTTCCCATTAGCGATTCAAGTCCTCACTCCGCACTTCGCTCTGCACTTCGTAAGGTTTGAGAAACTCGAGGATAAGCAGATTGAGAACGCGCTGCACGGGAGGAGCAAGAGCAAGTCTCTCGGCCTCCCAAAAAGACAACTATACCATGGGGTCCATAATATGTGGTTTGCATGTCGAAGAGCTGGGAAAGGTCTTTGGAATTACTTTTTGGACTGAAGGGCATGGTTGTGCTTGCGGCGCAAGCACGCATTCCGCTTTGGGGTGGCGCGAAGGTACCTGTGTTATATGAACAAGCTATATAAGTGTCCGCAACTAGGCCAGCATGGTCTCAAGCTTACAGGTCACGGACCAATGATTCTCACGCATCATTTTGCTCCCCAAAAAAATGTATGGCCTCGTAACATGCATGCTGCAGTTTCATTCAAATACCTGACTGCAACACACCCTCACACTGCAGTGCCTCCAGTCTCTGAAGAGACATACCTTTTGCAGATTGATTTTGGAAAACGGAGCGCTGGTTGAGGGCTGGTCGCTCATGAATTTCGCGCTAGGATTGGTTTGGGAACACCTGCTGGCCTCTTCACGGACGATGAGCATATTGAGGGGGTTTCTATCACAAAGGACTGTCTTTGACATGGTCTAAGGCTGACATGTGACTGTGAAGCAAGAATTTAATCTGACTTAGACAGGACACCTATCGAGATTATATGATCTGTATAGAAATTAACTTTGCATAGGAACGTAGCGTAGTGTAGTGTATAGGCGCGTGACGTTATATCATCAGTCTACTTGTCCGCTACTAGACTAGTTTGTCGCTGATAGGCTTGCCCCTCTCCCTCTCCAAGGGAGAGAGAAAAATGCTGGGCGAATGGCAGCGAGGAAAATCCATGCCTAGACCAGCAAAACAAAGTTATATCGAGGCAGAAGTTTTCGATGATGACGGAAGTCCACTAAGCACGGTTGTCCTATGGGTGAAGAATATTCTCACCCCAGATGAATTTGGGAGAGCGTTGCAATCTTATGTGGCTGGGGCACAGATTCTTACTATAGATGGTGGATGAGAACCGCCGAGGGCGCAGGCAGAACTATGGACTGTGCTTGCCAGAGATACACAAAGGACAACCTCACACCTGCTGCGGAGGCGCCGGAGAGCACATCGTGCATCTAGGAAAGTGGAGGCACTGGCAAGAGAGAGACGCGCGAGAGAGAGAGAGAGAGGGCTTGTTGAAAATACAGATGATCAGGCCACACCAGCATGTGGAGGCGAGGTGCCTTCGCCGGAGGCTATGGGGCCAGCAAGAGCTGAAGGCAAAGAAAAGGGTGCTTTCACTTTTTAGCCGCTTAGACAGGACCTGGAAGGAAAGCAAAAAGGGGCTAGTTCCAAGTGGCTCCACCAACGCACAGACAGACATGCTCATCGGAGCGGACACACAGAAAGCTTGAACAGAAGAAGAGGAAGGAACCTAAGGCTCTGTTGGTCATGGCATATGGAAAGGAAAAGACAGGAGCAGAAAGCAAACTTTTCCGGTCGTTGGAAGGGCAAAGAGGAGCACGGCTTCGCATTGATGAGGCGCCGAAGGCTGAAAGATGACAACAGCTGGGAGCTAAACCAGGGGAACCCACTGGAACGGGGGCGAGTTGCTACAGAGGCGAGACAGGGAAGAAAGACGAGTCGCCCGATGGAATAGTTGAGAAGAAGTGAAGGAAGAAGATTTGAGCATATAGGGTGGAAGAAACATCAGCAGAAGGCAAAAGCTTGAGGAAGGTCTTTGGAGAGCGGCCAGATCTGCTAGAAGTGGCATGGCGCAGTCTTTGCCATGGACGTGCTTACCGATAGACAGTGGTGCAGCTATGCTGACGCGGCTGACCCAACTATCAAACAACATTCATATGAGATGGGGGAATGCGTACGAAGGGCCACCCGGCCACCCGCGCTTCGCGACGAGTCGCAGGTCATGGGCTTCACTTGTCTATACCAGCGCGGGATGCAGCGGCGGTCAGGAAAAGAAACAAGATGGCTATGGCGGCGCCGCTCCATGAAGACGCACGTTCTTCTGTTCGGAGCACTCGAGGCGTTCTTGGCTGCGGTAGACAGTTGACCTGGCCTCACTGCTGGACGTCAGTGACGTCAGAGGCCGTCGCTTCATATCGCATAAACTGGGCTAGCTCGTTGGCTTTAACACAACGATACACAACGGGGCTAATTTTTCCAACGGAGGAGGAAGCGACGCAACCATGGACAAGGCTGCAGTCAGCGTTATGAATCTGGAGGGGTGCAGAGGGGATGCACCAATTGCGGGGGAAGGAGAAGATTGCCAATGGGATCCGCAACATGCAAAAGGCAAGGAAGATGGGATTTGAAAGAGCACATCTGGAGCAGCGGCTGCGATTAGGAAACTATCGCGGCCGCGATGTCCGCGGAGCTGTGCGGGGAGACATGGAGCAAATCGCCCTGCTGCGGGGGTACACAGCCTTCACGCTTCCGCTGCCCATGGCATTTCGGCCGTGGAATTCCTCGCGGACAGACCTTCAAGATATCGAGAGGGCAAAATCAGTTGCAAAGCGCCGACTTGGCGCACAGTTCAATGGCGACCAATGGCAAACACACCGCATTTTGAGGTTCTCAACTTATGCCAAAGGAAGGCGCGGTTTTGAACGCGTATTTAAGAGACCATGATCTCGTGCAGCCCTCGGGGTGCCCTGTCTTGTACTTTATCGTTGTTGTGGTCTTGACAAGGCGAGTGTGAGTGGTGATAAATGAAAAATCCAGAAATGATTTAATGTATATGCTAACAGTACGTGTTTCCTTTGTTCCAGACTGAGAGGGAAACATTTTGTCACCCACGTCTTGCCACAAAGGCTGGGCACTGGCAAGGTTCAATCTGTCAGCCGTCAGCCAATTCGCGCAGCTTTTCTTGTGGATTGTGACCATTTGATTCACACAAGGCTCGACTCAAGGTTCACAACTGGCCCTGCGTTGGCTGGTCCCTAGGCTTTCAATTCTTGAGCGTTTTTGTGAATGTGGCGTTAAATACAAGTTGGTCTTGTTACAGGAGCTCTTCTTGCTGGTAATCCAAGATCGTTATGCTCAGAGTCTCATGGACGACTTGGACGCGTGGCGCGCACGTCTTGGAGTTGGCAGTGTGAACGGTTGACGGCTGGAAACAACGAAATGTTGCTCATGCTTTTGTGATCCGCTGGGCGTTCTGTGATTCAGTGTGTGTTCGGATGGGAGCCCAAAAGCTTCAGGTTGCAAAACGGAACCCGCATTGGCCCAGTTGCCAGCAGCATTACCTTTCCAAATTGGTGAACCTTCGATCTTCAAGACCCAGGATTTGCCGCATGACGGGGCCAACTTGTTTGAGATCATCGACGCAGATGGCTCGGGCAGCTTGGGACTTGCTGAGCTTGTGCAAGGCACGCCGAACGTCATTTCCCTTCGCGGTCTATTCTGTGTGTGTGTGTAACCTTCGGAACCCTTTGGAGTCACAAGCCGGCCACAAGCCTTTCGGCGTTTGTTTTTCTCGGAAAAAACCTTTCCAATTGTTAGAAATTCTCATCTTGTTGGATTGGCATGACCCTCGAAACAATTGAACATTTCTATCCTTTTCCGTGGGGATTCACCTGCCCACAGTCCAAGTTCCAAGCTGTGCCCTCATGTAAGTCGCTTACCGGTTTTTCATTTTTCCGTAGTGTTTATAGTTTCCTTCTCCTCTTCTTCTCCGGACCTCAACTGCACGCGCTGGATCGCAGTGGCACGGCGGGCCCTGAACCGCAAGTGCTCGATCGAAGCGGTCGCCGCCAGACCTCAAGCGCTCCTTCGCAGTGGACACCGCAAGTGTTCGATCGATCGCAGTGGGCACCACCAGACCGCAACCGCCAGTGCTCCATCGCAGTGGGCACCGTCGGCCCTCAACCGCCAGTGCTCCATCGCAGTGGACACCGTCAGGCTCGTCCCCACCGCTCGATTCCAGCGGGCCCCGCCGGACGAATGCCAGCGGTTACGCCAGATACAACGCAGGAATGCGTGCCGGATAGAATGCAAGATGAACACTGTCTTTGATTGCAGAACATGTCGGAATTCATGTCAGAGCACGTAATTGCCAGGACCGAAGTCAGACCATATGTCACAGCACATGTCAGACTTCACGGCAGGAAAAATGTCAGAACACATGCCAACAAGGATGCAAGAACACAGTCCAGAACATTCCCAGCCTTTGTGAAGATGATGTGTCAAAGCACAAACCAGACTTGATGCCAAATCAAGTATCAAAACATTGTGTCAATTTGCATGCATGTGCCTTGCCTTCTTCGAACTGCACTTCAACCCAAGGGCTTGTCGATATTGCCAGTGGCGCCAGGTTTGCTGAAGATCCGTGGCGAGATCAACAAGAGCGACACCGTGGCAGCGTTTTTTGTCGCACAGGGCCAGACCCTGGACGGGCACAAAAACTATCAGATGACCCACTAGATAAGCGGGATGCAAGAAAATCAGTTGAATGCGCCAAAGTTTTTGCCCCTGCTGCCCTTGTTTTTGTTTGTTGACGTGTGGCTCGAAATTGATACTCGCGATGTCCATTGTTGACATTTGGCTGACGGCACAACAATTCGATCTCGCCTCAGGTTGTTGGCGACCAAGGCTGTACAAGCACAACTGAGCGAGATGATGGAGGCAACAATGTGTTAACTGTTTTGCAGTTTTGCTGGTTTGCTGAAGGAAGCAAGATGTGTTTGCGCTGATGGTTCAAGAGAAATGTGAAGCGCAAAGAGCGATGTAATGCGTTTTTTGTGAATTGAAGTGTTTTGGCCATCATTCATTACACGTGTCACATGAACGAATCCGCCCAACCAAATTCAGTCCTACCACATAAAAATGTTGTCCTTTTGTCCACTTATTTAATAAAAACTGTAGTTTGAAAGAAGTGTTTCAATTCACGTGTTGCATCACGCAAACCCACCTGCAGGCGGGAGTCAAAGCGCTTCTGGAGGACCAGTTTTCAGATAACTGTTAAACAGTTGATCTTGGCTATTAACATGGACATAAATATTGTAGGAATGATGTTTCATAAACAATTTGATTTAATTTATTCATGACCATGTGATACTGGTGCCTATGGTTTAAGAAAAATGTGTTTGATGACCGATTAAACGACCAACATCCGGCCTAATCTTCAAATTCATTACAACATATATATAGATCGATACATAAATATATGACATACTGCATACATTTTTCCACAGTGAAATGTGTGGAACTTTTGACTTAGGACAACCAGTTCCCGAAACGACGTGCACAACAACTTAAGCATACTCGCATCAGTAGGCGTTTGGCAACTCTGGTGTTCACTTCAAAGCTCCAATGAACAAGCGCCAATGACACCCAGCCTGGCAGTCAATTTTCTTGTGCTTTTGGACGAGGAGAACAATGACAACAAAGACGACAACAACAAAAAAAACGACGACAACGGCAACGACGACAACAACAGCAACAACAACAAAACGACCGCGACAACCAAAACAGCATGAATTACAGTTCCCACGATTGTTTCAGTTGTTTACCCGTGACCATGCTCAAACTATATATAGTAATATATATATAGTAATATATATATACTATAATGGTTTCACGCGTTTGTTGAGCACCCTGACATCAAGATTTGCATGTGTACATGTTTGTGCATGTTGATTGTCCTTCAGTATTGTTGGGAACTTCCGACAGAGTGCTTTTGGAACTCTGTCGTTTGTCGTAGCCTTTGTATTTGTTTCTTTGGGAACCAAGAGACACAGGCGGGATGTTGGAGCCCTCATATTGTTGTTGTTTTTGCTTGACATATCTCTGTTGTTCATTTTTGATATGCCATGAACGCCCTCATAGTAAACGCATCAATGGCTGATATCGATCACAAATTCCTACCAGGAGAGCTCGCAAAATGCCAAGAAACTGGAGAGATTGAGCCAGGAGCTTCAAGGTCGGTTCATGGCCCTTCGGCGCCGGACCAATGGGGCCGAGGACTCGCTTTTTTACAAATAGACAACTTGTATTTCGACAACTTTGTGCTTGGGGTCTATGGGATCCTGTGGGCATTAACATTGGGAAGTGGAAGTGAGGCCAAATTTGCAATAGCTAAGTTCATTGAGTTCTGTTTTGAAGAAACCTTTTCCAATTTTGACACCTCCCGGTTCTTAGTGAGCCTGTGATGTCATATGAACCAGAAGATTAGATGCCCTCAAAAAACATCAGTGGCTCCATCAGGAAGTCAAGCACATAGTGCTTCCATCGAGCAAGAACTGAGGATCTCACTTTCCGGATGGGCACTGCTGTAGACCATGGATACGAAGCAACGCCGCGCAATTCTAAGAAGACCACAAAAGATGAAGATGGCGGAGGTGCCTGGACCTGCACGGGGCTGTTGTGGCAAGAGGGTCTCACAGTGTGACTCACAGGCAGTTCTCAAGGATCACCAATTGGGTTACTTGCATCCTTGCTGCTTTTTCAGGGAAAGCTGCTTCTTCGACCTAGGTATTATGCACATATGCCATATTATGGATCATATGGAGGACAGCAACAAATGAAAAGGTCTGATCTAAAGCAGTGCGGAACTTTCTTCGATGCTTTGATTGTGGGGGATGCGTTTCTTTGTGTGTAAAATCAGGGTGAGCCAGCCAACTTGTTTTGGCCCAACCAAGCGCTGTTGTTTCCAAAAAGGTTGTATTGTGATAGACGGAGCTACACTAGAGCCACTAGAATCACCACACAACAAACCCGTACATTGTTGTTGATTCACCACACTCGGGTCCTTGGACACGAGTGTTCGAATTATCGTAACAAGCATTTGGGCTGTTAGACTGTAGATATCGGCCACCACAGGGTGTGGCATGGTACGCGTCAGACGCACATAAAAAGCATCACCACATCGCAACAATTGATCTCCATCTAAGATTTAGATGACCGGCGGTGCGCTATACCTTTCGGTCAATCTGGAAGACATGGCCAGACAGCAGAGTAGAGTGGTGTCTTAATGAGCTTGCATCGCACTGTATACTCCATCAGCATGATTGCCAACTCCATGCCAGGTGGATTCCCGTCTCTTGCTGTGCTGGACTTGCCTGTGCGGCCTGAGCTGCAGATAGAGGATGACGACCACCTCTTTGAATCTTGGCACATATATAATTTTCCAGGCTTGTCCGCAAATGTAGCAAAAGGCAAAAGGTAATCTAGATCTGTACTGTGTTCTCCACTGATTTACATAGGGGGACCCTTTCCCACAGGCTAAATCAGTCCGTTAGTCCGAAGTATCCCATGTCTCAAAAGCACGTTTCTGGATCAAAGCGACTTCACGTCAAAACCGTTCATGTTCACCACATGAGAGCCCAACTCCTAACTAACGACCCTATAACCTTGCAAGTCGGATGAACGACACAAATGGTTCAATAGTTTGTTTGTGTTTTTTCTGCCAACCAATTATATCACTGAAACGATGTAATGTGTACAGCTTCTTGCAGTTTGCTACTGTCCCCAATCCCCGAGACATGTCGGGGTGCAACCCCAAGGTTGCAGCAGTTGAAACCGCATGAAATTTATTGATCCTTTTGGCTCTGAAACTTGGGTCATTGGCTTGCCGCTGTGTTCTTCACCTTCCAGCAATAATAACCAAGCGATGGCTATTGGCTATGACGCACAAAAATCAGAAGGTTGGTGCTCACTGGAGCCATCCTGGCAGATTTTTCATTTTGTGTTGCACTTTGCTACTAGCAGCGATGGCCTCCAACCTAATAGCTTTTTCTACTAGTAGATCTTGTCGATTTCGTGTTGAGATTGTGCCCTCGTCCTTCCCTCGAGGTTCCTGTCGGCAGGCTTGATTGCTTGGACGGGGGAGCGACATGCGTTAGACGCGTTAAATGGCCTGCAGGTTGAGCCAGTTTGCTACACTCAATGAACATGTCTAGCTTGTTTGTAGATTCTGTAGGTTTTGTGGAAGGCTGAATTAGGGTTTGGCCGCTTGCGCATGGCAAGGTAATACCTAATTGTTCCTAATTCTGAGTTTGTTTTGAGTTTTGAGCACGCAATATAGCGTCAGGATAGGTTGATCCTGGTGAGGCATGGTGAGGCACAATCCCACTCTAAGAAGCAGTACACAATCTGGCTGGGTGATACGTACTGGAAGAAAGGAAGTATATACAGTGTCCGTCACTACAAAGATGTATATATATATACACAACAATTTGCGGATCACTTGTTGGTTTGTTTATTCAAGGATCACGAGCGGCTGTCCCGCAATGACTTGCAGGTTTGAACCGGCAGCAGACACATCAACAGGTTGAAGGCCAAGTGAACTTTTAAGTCTTTCCTCTCAGATGCCTGCGGGACTGATGAGCTCATATCCTCTAAGAGGATGCTGACCCAGGTTTTGAACATGCTTGCCAAAGGGCAAGTTCAAAGGATTTTTCAGGGGACGTATAGCCGCGGCCCCGAAGATCTTGAAGATATTGTTGCCAGTTGTTGTAATCCACACCAGTCAACGAGGCGTAGAAATCCTTCAAAGGTTGCTGACAAAGATTTCAGTGAGAATTCCAGCAATGCCTGACAAACCAAGGCCAAGAGCTGTAACAGTTGCAATTCAACTCGAACAGGTGCTTGCACAACTCACTTCTCCAAGATCTTGCACCTCGTAGAATCATGTAGAACATGTGGAGAGGCGTTCACCCTTCAACTCTGAATTCACTGGCGGGACTGGAAGATGCTTTGACCCCGCTTCCGTCTCCCTAGCAATAGGCATAGCTCAGAAGAGATGTGCAGGTAGTGATTTTTGAAGACCAGGTCACCAGGTCAATAATACTATTAACAAACTGGTACTGCACTGCACTATGTAATTATTCGGCAAAAAGGCACATCGTCAGTTTACGATTCATACTCACCGCTGCGGTGTTCAAGATATTTATTCATGATGGAAGATGCTAGAGTGTGTCGCTATTTGCACAGTAAAGCCTCATTTGGTGCTGAGGACTTCCAAAACAAACAGCAGCCAGGGATAAGCACGGCGGCAGCAAGTAACAGTGGTTCCAGCACTCCAGCGAAAAATGATGAGCTCCGACTGCACGGACATGAGGTGTGAGGAAGCAAGCCGGGCATAAAGCTATTGCCACCTGATGGGAGTGTTCCAGGTGACCAAGTCAGCTCTTTAAATAATGTTATCACATGCTTATTAACCCTTCCTAGGAAGCTCACAGAAGGTCTGGGGTGTGGAACGCCGCCACAACACTATAATCTGGAGGAGTGATCAATCATCAATCTTTTCATGAGCAGGGATCCCAAAGACTCAATGCAACGTCCCTGAGCAAGTACAATTACATCTATATAATTACAACAAAGAATTGCTGCTGGGAAAAGATTTGTCGAGGAAGGGAAGGGGTGTTTCTGGAGACCCTATTTTGATCTATTTTGTACAAATTGACCAGACGTGTTTTGGAAAT